AATCTTTCTATGATTTACATTAACTGTGTTTTCACCATGCTTAGTAGGACAACATTCAGAAGTTTCAGTGGCCTTTAATTATTTTATTTTATAAAACACTGATGGCATGACGTTTACTTAGGTCACCTGGAATTAAAAGTTTACGTTAAATCAGTTGTAGTTTTTGAGTTAATCTTTGTGATAGCTCTGCATTTAAGAATAGCTGGATTGTTTCTTTTGTGCTGAGCAGGTTTAATTGTGTTGCATTCTTTTTGGATTCAAGCAGTTGTACGTATCAAGTAAATGGGCATAAAAGATTATGATGATCGTATTTAACAAACTAAAGCTGATGTTCTCCATGCTAATTAAGGAAAGGCGTTCAGGAAAAATCAGTTGGTCCTTTGACAGTGTATTTCATTCTCAGGCCAAGCTTTTCCATGGGACTTTTAATAATGGTGTTTTAAGGATTATTTTTTTTTCCCTTCTCCAGCTTCTAGAGAGTTCCAGGCTTCTCTCCAGATATGGGGACTGTTTCTTCAGGCTTTCTGGTTGAACTGGCAGCTCAGAGACAGCTTGAAATACTGGGTTGGGTTTATAAATGAGATAATCCTCTGTGATGATACAACTGTTTCATAGAAAAGCTGTGCGCTGCAGAGAAATTGACTGAGAGAGTTCTAAACCATCAATCTCTTTTGAAAAGCATTAAATAATTGAAAGACATGTTCCTTTTAACGATTTAGAAAATTAATAGAATACTGTCAGTAATACTGAAAATAACTTTTTTTTTTCCCTTTTGCTGTGAGCATTAAATAGAAATACTGTTTGCTCTAACTCTTCAGAACTGGAGGCATACGCAGGTGTCATCAGTGCCTTACGTGCACAGGGAGACCTTACGAAAGAGAAGAAGGATCTTCTTGGAGAACTCTCTAAAGTGCTTAGGTAACCCTGACCTTTTTTAAATAAGAACCTGTTTTCTTTTAAGATGTTGCGTGCTTTTTCTATCACTAGTATCACAAAGCATATTTTAATTTAGGGAAGTAATTCTCCATCTGGTGGAGGTTTAATTCCTATTCCGCTTTGAGTTTTTGATAAGGAAAACAACTGTGTTCTTGTGGTTGAAGCTTTACTGGTTTGTTAGTGTTTTGTGAGATACTGAGTGTTAAAAGGATTACAGCTAGCTCATGAGTGGGCACTAGCTTGGAGTTTCATCAAGGTAGGGCTTCAAGGTCTTTGGGCCCATGTTACCTCAGGAAAGAATGCTGCATGTTCTGTGCAAATTTTTCTACCATATGCTTTAGATTTATTGCGCTCATTAGAAGTTTGGTTTTGAACTGTTTTGCAGGGGTACCCTGTGGACAGTAATGTTCTTTTCATTTTTCAGTAATATTTTTGAACAATAATACATTGATTCTTTTTCACTGTCATAGCAAAAGTTAAGTGACAATCTCTTAAACGTAAATGCCTGTTCCCTTTCGTCTCTTGAGTAGATTATTCATAAGTTTAATTTTAGCTAGAAGTCTTAGATAAATGTTCATGTCTTCCTCTGACTAAAATATATTGCTGGTTTTTTTAATAGTATTTCAACGGAGCGACATCGTGCTGAAGTTCGGAGAGCAGTAAATGATGAACGACTAACGACTATTGCACACAAGTAAGTTACAGGTCATTTTCTATGCGATTTCCAAGAGTACCCTTTGGAAAATCCATTATGCCTTAACTGGATGATAGAACTTTGAAGATTGATGGTGGCTTAAAGAACAGTAGTTAAAACAGTGTATGGGTGAAGGAATGACTGTGTGAGATTTACATTGAAGAGCTAGAAACAGTTATTTAGTGTCATTGCATTTTGGATCTGACAGCATCCCATTCACTGTAGAAGTACAATATAAGAAATGGGCATTGCCATGAAGAGCTTTCTGTAAGAGAGACCAGAAGAAACAGTGGAGAAAATAGAGAAATCCAGTAGCAGGATTTTGTTAGTTTTATTTAAATCCATTTACGAAAGGTTATATTAAAAGGGGTTTAACTATGTAGAAAGACAAAAAGAGGAAGGGAGCTGGCAGAGATTAGTGAAAAACAGTGTATCAGCACAGAGGGGGAAAAATGGTCAGAGTGAATTAACTGCAGCAAGCTGATGACACCAGTGTCCACTGCTCTCTGTGTGGTGCAGCCGCTGTGCTGACATCAACTGAGCTTGTTACTCCTTGTGTTTGCTTTCGTAAGCTCCACATGATTTGGAGAGGTGGAGAGAAGCAAGAGGGCAAGTGCTTACATATCTTTGATAGTTACTTAATAGTCTTACTATTAAAGCCAGATTGTAAGTATTCTTCTTTTTTTCTTTTCTGTGTTACAACCATTGATCTTTAAGATTGACTCCTGTAGTTTAGGTGTTATGGGGAGAAAAAGAAATGAAGTCAGCAATTGTTTGATCTGAGACTTGCCAAAAATTGGTATACTATTTTAGTGCTGCAGAAGAACATTTGACATGTTAGCGTTAACTTTTCAAGTTTAAAGAGTTAGAAATGAGCTGTTTACCAAACAAAAACCTCTAAGTTCCTTACGCTTCTTTAAAGGGGAAAAAATAATGGAAAATAAGCATTTAACTGTCAAATCAGGATTCTTTTCTTGAATAAAGTTTCCTTTTTAAGTAGTAGTTCTGTCTTTAGCATTTTACAGAACAAGCATAAAGTTTGTCCTGAGGTGTTGAACTTCAGACGGATGAAATACTATAACCCAGACAAGGTGCAATTGTGAAGTGCTGCATCTCTTTATTTTTCCTGTGGTAATTATTTGTAAGTGATGGTTGGTAACATAGTAATTGACTTAAATAATTCTTTAACTCATTAGGAAAGCCAGCGTTGCTAGCTTTGCTATATGCCACATTTGTAGTCTTATTTTTGATTTTAAAAACGTATTTTTACCTCAGCTGATGTAGCTCTGCTTATACTATATGAATATGTATGGAGAACGCTGAAGCGTGTCAGGATTTAACGATGGAGCAGATCCTTTGCATTTTACAAACTAATTTTGCTGCAACTTGCTTGCAATAGTTCATGTGAGAAGTTGTTTTTCAGAATATATTAATACATTAAATGGGTTGATTTGCTTAAGAACATAACAGCATTGAAAAATAATTTGCCATTTTGGTTTTGCTGTTTTGACAAATGACTCATGTAAACCAGTCATAAGCAGAAACACTTCTCCATCTAGATAAGAACAGCATTTTTCTGAACCATTCTAGTTTGTGTGTAAGTACTGAGGTTAAGAGAAAATGAGAGCAGCAGGCTGTTGAGGAAGAGGCACAGGGTGTATCTAAATAATTTAATGTTCTGTTACTTTGGGACTACTTTAATAAGTCTGAGAAACTTTTCTGTTCAGGTGAAGCTAGATTTGCATTAGAAGCCAAGGGTTTCCCTGTAGCATAATAGATTTCAGTAGTGTTATGGAATCTATTGGATGTCTAAATATTTTTTGTCATCCAGAAGCTGAGTGTGTACCAACTCTACCTGAGTAGTAGCTAATCTAGTATGGCGGTTTTGAACATGACATCCACGGACATCTGGCCCTTTAAGGGCTCTGTAAAACAAAGCAGTAAAAGAGGCAACTTGAAAATTTTCTATGTAAGGATTTTTGTATCTAGTGGGAAAGATGTAGGGGCTTTCATGAAATGAAGAAAGTTGAAGATTATTGCTCTACTATGTGTTTAGAAACTGCGTTTTAAACTTTTGCTGCTGAAAAAGGGCACTTAAATAAGAGTGCTGAGTGTTTTGGAAACTGAGCAGAATATACCTACAGAATGTGCATTTCTGTTTAGTATGTCTGGACCGAATAGCTCTTCCG